CTTACAGTATACTTGTATAGTTCATTGCATTTCATGTTATGTTCCCTTTTACTCTGATAAAAAATTCCAGTGTTGCAACTTTCCTGTAACGTAATTTTTAGTAATGTTGTAGAAGATGCCACTGGGGTAGATTTAGACTGTGATATCTCAGTGTACCTTAGCACTAGCAATGACAGGGAAAGCAGTTCATTTCCTAAGTAAGCCATATTTTATTTGTTTCAGTCTAATTCCCAGCCAAGTCCATGCCTCAAGCACCTGCAGATACTTCATACTCCAATCTAAGACAACCTAGTAATTTTAGTTTGTTTTTCTTCCTGCACAAATGTTGTCACAATGTTGACCCCATCTTGCTTGTGTCATAACAGTTACTATTACTTCGGTGCTGTTGGATAAGTGTCATTCAGAGCTTGCCTTCTTGTACTTCTTTTCCACATTTGCAGAGTGCATGATAGTCACCAAACTTGCCTTATCACTGCATACAGGAGAGGTGCTGATTTTGGCCAACAATTACCCAAATTGCTTTAAGACTGGTTAAAAAAGAAGGAAAAAATTAAAGGTCTCCTGACCTTTTTTTTTTTTTCCAATTTTCGTCATCTCTAAGCTTATGCCTCTTGGATCACAGAGATGTCTAAAACATACTTACAATTATCCATCCACCCAACCTGTACACTCTCTGTTAATAAATGCATTTGTCTACTCATTCTAGGAAGTTCAGATTTTTAACCATTTTTTTTCCTACAGTCCTGCTCTGCTTCCCTGTATATGGCAATCACTCATCTGATTTGATTGCAACTCACCTTGTGAAGCAGCTGAGCCAGAAAAGGAGCATTTAGCTCCTCTGTGCTGAGCACACCACTCCTCAGCAAGTGAAAGGGCCACGAACCACCTTCTGACTCAGCTGTCAGCCTACTTGCCAAATGACAGAACCAGACCCTTCACAGAAATTGTGAGGTGGAAAGAGCTGAGCTCCACCTTGTTTCCAGACCACCTCCTGTACCTCAGTAGATAGAACTAGAGGCTGTGCCATCCCTAGCCATCTTTTCATTAAATTGCCCTATGCGAAAAGCACCCTTGTTTGCACAAGCTGCTTCATGTCTTTGGATGGAAACGTCCCTTCTCATAACTTGATACTCTCCTTGCATAAGTTGGATTGTGACCAAAGTGCATGTCTTCTGACCAAAATTTATCATCATTGCAGTATGGCTTTTGTGTACCACTGTAAGCCCTCTTCTCAGCTACCTCAGGGGCAAAACATGCTAAGCTCTCTGAGCCTTTCCCTTCCATGCCTGTCCCAATTAATCTTCTGTGGTCTCTTTCCAAAACATGAGTATCCTATTTTAAATCTGTTCAGCTCCTTGAGCAGTTTCCAAACAGCAGCTAACCAAGGCGTCAGATAATCAAATTATTCTCTCTCCTCTGTTTTTAATAAATTCCCTTGGTCAAATATCCAAAGCCCTTATTTGCTCTTGCAGCTGCTGGATGTGCATCCATAACTTCATATTTGCTGCTATTCCTAGGACTGAACTCTCTCACTTACTTCAGCCTCTATTCTAGTAGGTCACTGTCTGCTTGTTACCAGAGAAAAATCTTTATCTTGTCACCAAGCCAAAGGATCAGAACATTCCCAGAAGACCTCAGAGACGAATCTTTAACCAAACTATTTAACCAAACGATGGTCTTAGTCATAGGATTTAGTTTTAGATAGTCTTGCGAGGAGCAGGGATTTGGACTTGATCCTTATGGGTTCTTTCCAAGTTGAGATATTTTATGTTTCTATTAAAAATTTTCCACTGAAAGTTTTTATTGATATTGAGAAAAGCTGATCAATTGAAATAAGAATGCTGGGCAGAAATGATCAGTTTAGATGAGAATGGGAAAGGATTCCCAATCTGCAAGGACAAAATCTGGAAATAACCACCAAAATGCTGATGTGTCTATGTGTTTTCATTAAAAAATAAACAGCATCTTGGTTTTGTGCTAATAAAGAGTCCAAAGTTTTGAAATCTTACCTAACAGAAAACCATTTTTCACCAGTTTTAATATTTGGAGCTCCGGAACCTCTAGGAAATAGTTATTTACTGAGCCCAAGGATGAAGCAGTAGCACATGGAGCCTTCCCTCCCAGCAGGAGGAACCCATAAACATGCTTTTCCAGGAGGATGCTGGAATGAGGTTTGACAGTGCCCAAGCCCCACTCAAATCCCATGTCCCCTCCCACCAGGCAAAAGGTCTGAAAATCCTGTTCTCCATGTCTACAGCAGATGATTTTGGTAAATCTGTTTCTTTTGATACCACTGATTGTCTGCAAGGCATTTTTTCTGTTCTACCAATCAAAATAACAAATCAATTATTTATTTTTCTACCATGCTGGCAAGTGGAAGACTAGAAA